TTCAATATATAATGTCAAAAAGTATTTTAAAATGTTCACATGTCATACAATACCAAATTGTGGCATTACCTAGTGCTACCGTTTATATTTAGGGGATAAAAATATAAAACCCTGACTATCATTACTAGTCCTTGACTATCATTAGCAGTCATCAATTAAGATTCGTCTAAACATATTCAATCTATTAGGGATGTGTTATGGCATGTGAGGAGGGGTTTGATTGTCAAGGAATCAACTCAACCAGAAATTCAATCTTGTAATTATAGGTCTATGAAATATTTTATACTTTAACATGTCCTCTCACGGACATGCGAGATTTGTTTTTGTTCGAATCTTACACGTGAATATTAATTTTTTTTAAACGTATTGGCAGTGAAGTTCAAATTCATGACCTTTTAGTCAACAAGACTCTCATACAATGACCAGAAACTAACTCAACTTAAAAAACCAGGCTTTATTTAACTACAAGAAAACGCCCAAAAATGATTTTATACTCTAACATTGACCATCATTCATTATGCCCCGTGCAGTTACAGCTCCTTCCGTCATGTCATTCATAGAGCATGAGCAGTGGCAAGGAAGAAGAATGTCTTGCACTGCCACACCAGCTCCTTCCTCTCATATCATTGGCATGACAAGGACAAAATGTCTTGCATGGTGAGGCATTGGTGTGGCACTCTACCCTTTTTTTTATTTTTTATAATTTTTTTTATTTTTTTTATGAAAAAAATGTATAAGAAAGTAGAATAATATTTTTTTGATAAAATAAATAATAAACATATTTTTTATGTTTAAAAAACATTAAAAAATGTAAAAAATGATAAAAATAATGACTTACCACTGTAGAGCTTGTCACTCACTCACTTGCCCCACGGTGACTGGACTACGTTTTATTGGTTAAAATGTTTCACGTCATCGTGTGGCATTCCATTTTTGCCTCGCCATTGTTCATGCTCTTTAGCCTCTTCCTGCGTGTCGCCACACGGCACTGATCGTCTATATATATTTTTTAAATTTTAACTAATCAAAATAATTCATATTTCACCGCCACGGCGTTGATCGTCCATATTTTTTTTAATTGTAACTAATCAAAATAATTCATTATTTTCACGTGACATCCGTCAAACTCAAATGATATCAGAGGTGGCAAAGTGTGAACGGTACAAGCGTATTGAGCCCACGGCGGCCGCTCGGCGCCATCTTGTCGCGGCATTTGGCGTTCAAATTCAACTACTTTTGAAATTTAAAAGTTTAAAAGTAGGAGTCTGTCTCAATATGGGATCTTAGGAGGATGTTGCTATCCACATTAATTACCCCGTACGTCAGAATGTATACACACCCACAATCCAAAATCGGAGTAATATATTCTTATTATCTTTCAAACAGAACTAACATATTTTTACTTTTAAGATAAAATTATTGATAATGTGGAATTATATATTGATATTGCACCGTATTTTTTTTATTATATTATGTTAACACTATATATCTTAATTTGGGATAAAAACATTAATTATATTCTATTTTGATATTTTTCTTATGTTTACTCTTTCTCCCTACTTTTCTTTGTACATTAAAAAATACTTTCTTCCATCCAAAAAACCTTCTAATGGTGTTTTGTTTAAAAAAAAATTTAAAAATAAAGTTGTGTGATTGAAAATAATGAAAATGAGAGATAAACATGGTGAGCCACATAAAAATTTTTTAAAAATAAAAATGGAAGTCCTTTTTTCGGATAAGAGCTACTTCCAATTCCTCAATATGGAAAATAAGTTTTCATACATTATTTACATTGTCAAATTTTAACAATTTTTTAAAATCTATTTTGTTACTTATTTCATAAAATAATATAGTCATGTTAGGTTACCTTTTCTTTTGTACAACTTTACATATAATTTTTAAATATACAGTTTTTATACTATTTTTCTATATATACTAATTTGAGATAATTTGAATTAACAATCATTTTAATCGAACATCGTAAAGCGCAATGAAAACCTATTTTCTGGATGGAGGGAATATGTTTTGGTCCCAACAATGTAAATTTCTCAAGAGTTATTTGCAATATATATGTGTATACACAAACACACACACACATATATATATAAAGTATGGATTAATTTTGTAATTTGCGAATTCTAATCATATGCAAAAAAATAAATTTGTGATACAATTAAATATTGCATAACTTTTAAATATGCATATATTAGATGTAATATAATAAATACAATAAATTCTTTATTAAAAATATTGTGCGACTCAAAAAAATTAAATTTTCTGAATAACTTTGAATCATACGTTTTTTTCTTTTAATATTTTTTTTATTAAATTTATAAAACTTAAACATTGAAACTGATTTTGAGACGAACAAAATATACTCCCTCCGCTCCTAAAATTGTTTTCTGTTTTGACCTTTTTTGGTCAAACAGTAACACTTTTTTACCACAAATTAAATATAATATAAATAAAAAAAATGATATAAAATTTAATATATCAAAGCTATATCTTACGATGATCCCAATCATATTGAATTTATATTATAATTAAATGTATTTTTCTCACAGTTTATGGTTAAAGTGTGTCACTGTTTGACCAAAAAAGTCAAAATAGGAAAAAAATTTAGAATGGAAAGAGTATGTTTTTTCTAGGGTTAGCAATTTCTAAAACTTAAAATTCATCACCATATGCACTATGTGTCATGTATGTACTCATGTCAACCTTTAGTATGGTTAAGATCATCTCCGGGAAGTTTTGAATTTGTGTCAACCTACCCATCAAAGAGACTTAGGATGTGTTTTGTTCGCGTGATCTGATCTGATTTTTTAAAGATCTAATCTGGTCTGATCTGACCCGGTCTGATGTGATCTGGTCTGATCTGATCCGGTCTGATGTGATCTGATCTGATCTAATCTGGTCTGATCTAGTATGATCTGATCTAATTATAATAAGAATAAGTAATAAGCAGAAAAAATAAGTTGAACAAAATGCTACCTTACTTTCACATAAAAATGGATTTTAAAGTTAAAATGGGTTTTAAAGTGTACTCTCCTTTTGTAAGTATTATAATTAGTACTGAAAATCTTAAACATCTTGGCCCAAATTGAGTATGAGCACACGAGTGAGTGCAAGCCAAAGAGATCAAATATGTTTTTTTTTTGTGGAGGCGCAATGTGGTGGGTTAGCGTGTACAAAATGTTTACTAGAAAATTTTTTTATCTGAGGCATAGCTCAACTAGTCGAGACTGTCGAGAGAGTAGCGTCATAAAAGGTACATTCAAGTATACTAAAAAAAAGAAATTGGAAGAATATTATTGGACAGGCCAAAAAGAAAAGTGGAATAATATTTCCGGGCAGAGAGAGTATTATTATTATTATTAGTCCGTGTGTGTATGTGAATAAACACACACACATACATACAAACATAAAATACTACTACCTCCATCCCTGAGTATTTGTCCAGTTTTGATTTTTTCGGTCAACTGTTTCAACCTTTGACCTATAATTAAATAAAATATATATTGTACATTAATTAGGTAAAATAATATTTTGCAAATATTTGATATAACAAATCTAATAAAACTATTTTTGTATCAATATAAAATATCATTTTCATTTATTTTGAAGTCAAAGTTTACCAATTTTGACCGAAAAAAATGAAAACTGGACAAATACTCAAGAACGAAGAGAGTATCTTATTGTGAGAGTTAATACTCTCACCATCCCAATTTAAAGCGCCTATTTCGTTTACGATAATTAACTAAAATTCTTTTCAAATTCTTTTATGATATGTTTGGGAGCATGAATTTAGATTTCAAATCCGGATTTGGTTCAAATTTGATATTTGGGAAACTTAAAAATTTTGAATTTAAATTGGATTCAAATTTTTTTCATTCATAACAAAGCTTAATTTAAAATTCGTGTACCTTCCCTTGTCATTTGAAATTCAGAATTTCAAATTTTGAAATTGAAATACATGAATTGAAATAAAGTGCAAGTTGCCAAACACTATCTTATATGAAAGGTGGTATATAATTAAAAAAAGTAAAAATTACATCAAAAGATCTACAAAACTAATGGTAACATGACTATATTATTTTATCAAACGACTAATAAAAATAAGAAAAGAAAGTAAATATAATTTCTCTATAAATAGTAAATATGCAACTTAATTTAGGACGAAGGGAGTAATAGTTAAAAAAAGAGTGAGAGATGGAGAGCAACAATTACAACAACTCAATTAGATACCACGAGAGTAGAGTCTGGAAAAAATATGTATAAGCAGACCTTGCCTCAACTTGAAAATAAAGACAAGAGACCCTATCTCAGACTATGTAGATAAAACAATCACAGGGAATACATAAAGCTGAAAAAGTACAAAAAGCAACAATTGTATCCCGTATTTATTTAGTAAAAAAAATATTTTCTCCGCCCCACAAAAAAATTCACATTTCTTTATTCAAATGGTTCAAAGAAAAAAGGAATATATAACTAACAAAATTTCTCTCTTCTAAACAAAATTCACTCACACAGTGTTTAATTTTTGAACATTTTTTAAATTTTTGTAAAGTCAAACACTAAAGATTTTTTCAAGACGGCAGGCCCTATTTGACCCCGCCCAAGTGAGAGGATTCGGACACCAACAATTTAAGATATCACAATTAGATCATGATTTGGTAGGTTCATTAGGCATACTAGCCACACGTAATGAGCTAGGTAGAAAACTTGGAAGGAAGCTGATTAATCCTTTACCATAGTCCAAGTCAAGATTTGACACTTAATGCTATTGACTCGATTACAATGCAGTATCTGTTCATACTTTTTCTCAACCTAATGATGCACAAAGAGTCAATGTCTTTGCCTTTGCTGGGGCTTGAACTGGATGGACTTTCCCTTGAATCTGGGGGAGTGTGTTTCCTACCACTCAAGTCAGGAGAGATGTTCGAGATGATCATAATTATTCCTCTAGATATACTACAAATTTATTTTACATATATAAAAGGACCTTCAATCTCCCTTTCTTACCATAATCATCTCACTAACCAAACCAAGAATAAACCAACAAAGTAAAATNAATAGATCTAATTTCTAATTTAAACATTCATGCTACCAATCCATTAATGTATATATGTACACACCCTGCTGTGGGGGTAATCCCGGCGAAGGATTTAAAAGTCATCCGCGGGGGAGGGGGGGGGGATTAGTTGAGGAAAGAAAAAAGATGCTACCTTTAATTTGTTTTCATCTGAATTCAGCCCTACCCATCAGGTGACCAATCAAATTTGCTAAGATTTGCTTTGTCCTTGTGTGTGTCCACGTGCTGCCGCACATACTTCTTGTTCACCTCAAACACAAAGCCCATTCCTTTGATCTACAAGTTCATATTTTCCCATGTATTAGCAGCGTTAGTTGTCATAGAAACTACACGACTACAATAACCCAGTAGGACCATGTATTCACTTGACTCACAGAGTCACAGCTTGTTGGAATTCAGACTACTCTAAAAGGCATGGAAAATGAATTTTTAATTGCATTTTGCTAACTTTAACTGTTTGGATCCGATTGCAAATAGTTAGTGGCAAATGAACAGCTAGGAAGGAAGACCAAAAGATGTACAGAGTGCACTAAGGGGCTGTTTGGCAACTTCTGAATAGGTAAGTGCTGAACCAGTAAGAGGTCTGAACCATTAAGTGTTGAATCAGTAAGAGGTAGTATATTGCTTAACTATTCAGAAGCAAATGTTTGATCAATTCAGATAAGAGGTCTTAACCATTCAGACTCTGTATAATACTTAACCATTCAGAGGCAAATCGCTGAACCATTCAGACATCTGAACCATTAAGAGGCTGAAACAAACAGCCTCTAAGTGAATTTGTGATGCATATAGCAGTCTATATATACTCTTATTTCATTCCCTCACATTTTCTCTTAAAATAGTTTTGAGATACTGTTTTCCTTTACACTATGTTTGGTTCAAGGAATTTGAAAGGGGATGGAAAAGAAAATGAGAAGGAAAACACTTTTTCTTGTTTGGTTTTAGTGGAAAAGAAAAGAAAAGTGGAAGGAAAAGAAAACGAGAAGGCAAAATGTACTAAGAGGGAAAACCAAATTCCTCCCATTTCGATGAGAAAATGAGAGAACCATTTTCTTTTCTTTTTCCTTTCAAATTCCTTGAACCAAACATAGTGTTAGCGTCATTTAATGTGTTCTCTTCCTATTGTCACTGACACACTGCCACCCAATTTCATAGAAAAACGTTGTTCTTTCAACAACCCAATTTCAATTGAAGTGTAAAAGAGGGATAATAGATACCTCAATCAGACAACTAGAGCTTAGAAACTGCATTTTGCCATTATCGACTGTTTTGCCGTTCACTGTAATAGAATTCTTTCCAATATTCCTCAAAAAGAAAGATCCATCTGCCTCCATCTTAATTATTGCCTAAATATGTGTGAAGAGAGCATCTCAGTATATTGATAAGTAAGGCAAAGAATAAAACAAAATTGATATTGTGTGCCATGCAGCAAATTAGGAGCACATACATACGGAGCATAAGCTAAATATATGTATGAAGGAAGAAGCCATAAATTATCACAACTATTGCATCAACCCAGCTATTTCAATTTTTTTAAGGGTGTTATCAAAGATTAATTGAATTGTAACCCCATACTAGTTTCCATTTTTCCAAAACAAATGCCTCATTGGAAGAGAAGCTTGAAAGGATTAGATAATCTCACTTGACGTCGAGATATTTTGTTTGCATTGCCTTCTTTTCGTAAATCAATATCAACATCAATGCCATCTGTGGATCTTCCAAGTATCACCTACAAGGTAAAGCTTGTTTGAATAACAAAAGGAAAGAAAGAGAAAATGGAGTACAAAAAGGACAACAATAAAGTATGAACGTTGTACCTCTCTTTTCTTAATGAAAGACCTAAGATGGCGGCCATATAAGATGGCAAAAGCACCTTGTGACATCATCGCTCTATGCATAGAAGAACGAGCACACTGCTCCAACCTTATTATTGTCCTTTTGCTTTCTTCAGGGTGATACCTTATTACTGGACATTCCCAATGAGAATATATTAGCATTATAAATAGAAAATATCAAAAAGGGCATATTAAATTTAGTTTGCATGTTAATGAAATGCGGAGTATATTGTTTGGCTCCCTTTATTAGTTACAGGCTTACAGCCACATAACACAAATAATAGCTGACACTTGATGACCACCAGTCACAAAATTTTTATTTGTCATTATCTTCATAGAAGCAGCATTCCAGTTTTGTGCGTAGAGGTAACGTTTCCGTACATCTTACATTTCCCAAGCCTAATTCCAAGTGGGACATGATGTGTATGTTTTGTTCTGTTTGGTTTACCCAAGGCAATCAAACTTGTGATCCAACCCTCGTAGGATAAAAGGATTTTATGAGTCCATACATTACGGTATAAACAGTTGTGAATCGAGAAATGGGTACTGAGGTGCTTTGTGGTTGTTCTTTTAAATCAATAACTAAAAACCTGTATTAAAAAATATGGTTTACAGGTAACTTTTGATAATTGTAACTTTGAAGTTGATCTATAAATGTAGCTTTTAAGCTGCATCCTATATTTTAACGAATGAGCTTTTAGAGCAAAAACCTGGTTTGGCTTAAACGCCACAGCATTACAAAAACTTGTTGCTCTGTGTCTTCAAACCTTTATCGGCCACTATGGATTCCAAAAAGTGGGATGTTACCTATATGTATGGGATCAAATGTGTGTGTGGACACGCACACACACACACGTATGCACGCACACATCGTAACGCCCTAAAAACTGGTCTAAAAGCTTTGAGCGAATTTAATTGAAATTTGATTATATTTAGATAATAAATATAATTTAAAAGATTTCTTAGTGAAATATATTTAGTGAAGATAAATATAATTGACATAGATGAATCCTATTTGATTAAAATAAAATGATTAAAGAAAGTTGAGATTTTCTTACCGATGAGTGAAACCAGACTGATTATTAAAACATAGCAGAAATAGACCAAAGCAGAACTAATTGGGGTGTTACACACACGTGTGTAGGATCTTATGATCGTGTTACAATCATATGCCCAACGATCTTGATATTCCTACAGGACCCTGTGTAGGATCTTGATCTTGAGTCTTGACTACCCTGGGTTTACTTGATGGCCAGCAGGTAAAATGGATGTCAACAAAAATTCTTTATAGAAGTATGTAGATGATTAGCTAGTATGAACTAATACGGGCGTGTTGCATTTTCCAAGATTCTAAAGTGCATGGCTATACACGTGAGCTTTAAAAAAGGATCAATCATTAAACTCTAAAAAACTTACAGTGAGTTGCAGTATATGAATCCTGATCAGGTGGGTCTAAGTCCATGTCAAGTATCTGGCATTCAATGTCATGAGAACAAACAAGTGAACTATGCATCAGCAAGTTTAAATCTCAGACCCAAACAAATCAGAAGAGAAATAATTTAGAGAATCACCATGGCTTCAATGTCAGAAAAATATGGTACATCGTCATCACTTGTTGGTTCTTCCTGGTCTGATGATGAAGGGTTGAATGAAGATTCTACATTAGCTATGACAGAACCTGATTCAGCAAATCGTGGCATACTCGGATGTATGTCTGATGCATCTCCCACCTCCTCACAGCACAAAAGGATAAGGGATTTTATACAATCACAAGAGAAAGCTAGGTCATAGGGGAATAAATATATATTAGAACAGTCGTTTACCAGTCCAGCTATAGCAGCACCCTGCTCTTGCAATCTATCAGTGGGGGCATCAACAATTCCTTGCAAGGATATGTCTTGACTTGAGTCAGAGAAAGCCTTGTTTGCCTCCCCAGAGAGCAAAGAGAGACGGTTAGTTTCAGGCAGCTTGGATTTCACAGCAGAGGAAAGCACTCTATGTTGAGCATGTGCTTCCCCTAAGATGCCTTGTCCAATCTTGTGAGACCATGAAAGAGACGGTATATAACCTTTCCCTTTTGTCAAGGAATTCACTCCTTCTTTAGCATCCTTCTGAATAGCAGGAGATACTGTGTCTATAAAGTGTGTGCTCCTAGGTTCTATCACTGCAGAGCCAAATGACGTGGATGGGTGGATAAGTAAGAATATATCATCATTACAAGGGATTTCAGTGTCCTCGGTGTTTAACGTGCAACAAATGCTACCATCAGTTAGTTTACTCGAGTCTGTGTTTGATGTTAAGTTAGATGGCTCAGTAAGCTTTGGACAACAAGGATCTTCCTGGCCACATGTAGAAGAAGCAACAATCTCTGAGTCAATAGAGTCTGTACCATCTGGAGGTAAAGGCAATGTTTTGGAATCAATTAATGACTTCGCTTCATGAGTATATGCCCCACCTTTCGGAATGCAATCAGAAGAATTCATGAGAATACCATTTTTATCAGATGACTTGTCCAATATGCTCCTCACATCCTCATCCTCCACGAGAATCTCATCATCGTTCGGAAGATTCAAAAGTGAATCAGGGAGATCTGTAAACTCACCATCTGCAGTAGTTGATGGTAGACAGCAACCCTCACCAACTGGGCATTTTCTATAGTTAAGGGAATTATCTTTGGACACATGAGGCCCTTCACAGTGTTTAATACTTGACTGAATACAAGAAGCCCTCCCTTGTAAGGAAGCTGAGAAACCTTCAGAAAATCCAGTATTCCTCAAAACTTCAGTTACTTGGCTATCACCGGCTGTATTTGTGCATCCAGTCGGATAAGCGATAGAAGACGTGGTAGCAATCTCACCCAATGCTTCCGGGAAAGCATTACGCAGAATATCCAGTTCCGCTTCCTGGAACCTTAAATTATCTGAAATACAAGTCCCCAGGACACTTCTGTCATGAGACACATTCTCGTGTGCATGATGCTGAAAATCAACCCCGTGTCCATTAAAATCATGTAAAGTGGGTCCCTCCAGAAAACATAGATCAGTGGAATTGAAAAAATCATTTCGAATTTTCTTTTGCAGGGCATAATAGTGTTTGTGTACGCTCTTGTTTTTTCTCTTTCGAGGGACCTCCGTGCTCTCTATTATGGTTTCCGATTTATTAAACTTTCTTGAGGGGCTAAAACCAGAAAGTTCAAGCTCTATAATGCGAGCAGAAGCTTGCTCTGAAATGTCTGGATCATACAGAAGTGAGTTCCACCTTTCCTGCAGTTCTTTTAATGTAAATCTGCGAGAAAATTGCACTGCACCTTTAGCAAGTGCTTCCAAAGAAGCACCTGCCTGCAAATAGGGAAGAACAAAACTCCAATCAATTACTTCTATAAGATAACATGAAGGAAAATTGCAAATTCACAACATCAATGTTATTATAACTTTGATTGTTCACGAAAGAAGATTATTTGTACTCTGTAATAATCAGTGTTAAGAACTAAATGGGTCTCTGAAGTCTGAACCATCAGCAATATATAACACTGCATAGAATTTAACTTCAGTCCATCAGATATGCAGTCTGAAAATGTTGAGTACAAATAGTAATGGAAATGAAAAGAATAAACAGCACGAACACAGGATCCACGAGACATGAAGGGATTGAAGGCTATTGTTATAATTATCAATCATTTCCCCTCAAAAGTGTAAATTCAGCTGAGTCTTTTCTCAATGCAAGCAATAACAACATGCAGGTTGAAGCCATGAAAATCTAGGTTATTTTCTAGTTCCTACACTGTCATCCCTTTAAATAATAAGTTTGAAGAATTTTCTAAGTTAAACAGAGTACCCATTTAAGCTTTAATAATTCAGGAGCAGTATGTAGAACCCTTTATATTCCTTAAGTATGCAGTTTTGAAAATGGGTTTTGAAAGAATCATCATTAATTGAAAATGGGTCCTGAAAAAACAAATCCAATTGATTCAAAAATGATCTAAAAGCAAATAAGAACAGAACGACCCGAGTTCAAAGTCAAGTGCATTATAAAAAAAAGAGCTCATTAGGCAGTCAAAATGCAAATTAGCATCAGCCACACCAAAAAAATTTGCATTCCTTTAGCTTTTTAGTGAGCGATTCGTACAACTTATGCGAAAACACATACTTACTGGATCGTGTAAATATGACCCGCAGAAGCTAAGCTAGTGTTCAAATACTCCGTAATTAAGCGCAGGAAGTAAATAATGAGGAGCGATAAATGGCAGAAGCTTCAATTTAACACCCAAATCAAACAGATATATAATTAACCTCGACGGAGTTCTTCAACAAGAGATCGTCTTCGGGAATCCAAGAGGGGATTGTTGGAGCAGTGGTGGCCATCTACGCTTGGATGAACCCTAAAATCTGCAGAAACGAACTGAATCCGACGCGGTCGGAGCTGAATTGAGCATCTACATATGGTTTCTAAAGCAAATCCATTCAAAAGATTTTGAATCTCCAGGAGCTCGCTCCAGCGATCATTGTGGTCGTTAATTGAGAGCATAGAGCTGCATATCTTCCTCTCTACTCTTTCTTTTTTCTTCCTCGGAAAAATAACCATAAAATTGTACTCTCTGCCTGCCTTCTTCTTACCTGTTCTACTACTAATGCATTCCCCACTTTTCCTAAATAATGTCCTCATTTTAGAATATACTCCCTCAGTCCACTAAAAATCTTCCCATTACGCGTTACGAAGTTTGATCGACTTTATTTTTCATTTATACAAAACTATAAATAACAAGACTATATTATTTTATTAAATGAGTAGTAAAAATAAGCAAACAAAATGAGCTAAGTTTGTCACTATGAATACTGTCTGAGAAAATCTATTGTGGAGAGAGGGAGTATTTTTTAAGTACTATCAAATCTAATATGGAGTAGATAATCTAATGTATTCACAATACCTATTCATACATAATTTTTTTAATTTATTGAAATACAAAAAGTTAAGGCCTTCGAACTTGTGATTAATGATATTACGTATTCTTATTTGTTATTATTTTTGCGTTAAACATTTTTTAAAGTTATTTTTAATCTAGCAGATTCTATCACTTCTTATTGGAGCATATATACCAATTTTAAATAAAATAATTTTAAAATAATATCAATCAAACATCGCAAATCATTTCTGCAATAATTAAAGGCAAATATTTTGGTGAACCTTAAGTCCACCTTGATTTTGTGGACATTATTTGAAATGTTTAACTTTTGCAATGTTAGACTTTTACAAAATTTTGAGCTACTAAATAAAATTAAGCAAGTAGTTCCACAAACTAGAGGTAGACTTTTAAACCACCAAATCACTAATCGTAATTAAATTGGACGGAAGGATAATATGTTAGTGTTATACTTCATCCATTCTTGAGTATATGTCAACTTTTGACTTTTTCATTAAAAATTAGAAAGCTTTGACTTCAAATTAAATGAAAATGATATTAGATTTATTATATCAAAAAGTTTCAAAATATTATGTTATCTAATTAATATAGAATATATATATATTATTTAATTACAGGTCAAAGGTTGAAAAGAGTTATCCGAAAAAAGTCAAAAGTGAACAAATACTTAGGAACATAGGAGGTAGTACAAAGTATGAATTTTAAGAATCACATAGTTTTATCTTTTGTTTTAATATGTTAAGAATACAAATAAGAACATTAAACATTGCCAAGACCATATTAGTTAACATTTTTTAAAACTTTGACAATTTAGTAAAATTTTATTCCCTCCGTCCTAAAATTAACTTCCCAGTTTGACTTTTGTAGTCAAACTTTTTAAACTTTGACCGTATATTACAAAAATAATAATTGAATTTTCATATAAATTTATTAGAAATAGATTCATATTGAAGCATAGTTTTGAAATATATAATTTTTATAAAATATATTTATATAAAAATTAAGATATTGATGATCAAAGTGTCGCATTGGAGATCGTGAAAAGTCAAATGGAAAATTAATTTTAGAACGGAGGGAGTAACTAAACTAAAACAATGTTACCAAAAATGGATTTTTAAGTGCTGTTTGTGTGGATATTTTACAACTAACAATATCATCAGAGCATATTGGTTTTTCAAATTCATCCTTTCCCAATAGAACATTTTCCTAAAATGCTCTTAATCAAACATGTTCAATATCTTGTCACTCAATATCCCAAAATCTCAAGAGTAAAAAAGAGCAAATTTTCAAAACATATATGCCATCACAGTAATTGAGTTGACCCAAACACGAGTGCCTTCTTACTTTATTAGTAAAGTAGTCTATATCATTAAAATCATCAAATGCAATGAAGTTTAAATGACACAACTTCCATGAGAAGAATAACGTGACAGTATTCATCAAATCTTTTAATATTGATCACTACATGCATTTACAATTTTATTCACTTCTCATCTCTGCTGTAATGAATCTCCCCTATCCAACATGTAAATTTGCAGGCATATGAATGGATTAAACTGCTATAAATATACCTACTAGTAATAGGAAGAGGATATCCCTTCGGATCGAATCACTTGTCCCAACTCTCTATCACACTCCCCAAACTGTGCCACCCAGCACAATGGGGCGAAGGGATAGGGGACATATATAAAGGTGTGTGGGGGGGTGTTTTTGTGCGAAGTGGCACAATTTGGAGGACGAGATAGGGAGTTGGGGTAGGGGATTCACTCATTCACATCTGTATCCCTCGCCCGCGAGGGCGCCCAACAAAATTGTGGAGGGTTAAATCGTGATGGTTCAGCGGCCTTTTAGGTGGGACCATGAAACGAAATCCCAGCTTGATTAAACAGGGACAACAAGTGAAGCAACTCTTCGTGTGAGAGCTTTGATGGCCTTTTATCATCAAATCCACCAAAACTCAATACATTGATTACCATCTCCTTGAAAGAGGTCAGCTCAACCACTTCTTGAGCCTCTTTCACTCCTTGCAACTTCAACAGCTCCATTAACATCCTTTTCTGCTTGAAAATCGCACCCAGAGTTTTGTTCTTCTTGGTGAAGCAAGTTCTGGTAAAAGCCAACCACTCGTCAAGATTGACGTCTGGGATTGATGGTTTCGGGTGGATCTTAACAACGGAAGAATCGACTTTTGGACAGGGTAAGAAGTCCCTCTTGCTCACGTCCATCACCAACTCCACATCAGCCACCAGCTTCACGTTTGCGGCTAACCTGTTGAACTCAGAATTGCCCGGGTTCGCCAACAGTCTCCTTGCAAACTCTTTCTGTAGCAAAAGAGTGGCGCTCCGGTACGAGGTTGTCCCAAACACCACCTTAGCCACCAGAGGTGAGGAAATCCCGTATGGAATGTTGGCAACCATAAGATCAAACTGCGGAAACTCTGTCTTTAGTGCATCTTGGCATACAACCTGAAAACATCCCACATAAGTGTCTCTTAGGCATAACACTAATCGACAAAACTTGTTTTGAATCCATGGTTAGAGTCAATCAACTTGACCATAAAACAATTGGTCAAACCACAATAAAATATTGAATCTAATCATGTAGTTAGTTCAAACCAATGTCTAATTAACATATCATCATCTCTCAATGTGTGGATTATGAAAATTGAATTGACCGATTTAGACTGATAAAAGTCTGTGAATTTATTAACACATGCGGAAATAAATAGCATGGAAGCTTTTTACTATGCACAAACACTTCATTTAGACATTATATCGAACAGTTTCCGTGAACAGATGATCTTACAGTTAATTTATCACGAAGGCCATGTTCGGCCACGCGTTTGTTGAGGATTTCGATCATACGTTTGTCAACCTCGATGGCTATGACTTTCCCGGCAACGTTTAGAAGCTTGAGAGTGAGATTTCCGGTTCCGGGACCGATCTCTAGGACGGTGTCGGTGGGGAGTATGCCGGATTTTCTGACGATGGAGTCGAGAATTCGAGGATTAGTCAGCAGGTGCTGGCCTCTGCTCTTGAGCAAGTTTATGTTTACTTCTTGGTTTTCCTTTCTTCTGATCATCTCTCCGCCGCCGCCGTATTCTTCATCGTCGTTTCCGACGCCGTTGGAGCCCCGGCTTGGTTTCGGACGAAGATTCCGATGTAGAAAATGGCGGCAAAAGACATGTCTGGAGATGCTTTTTTGGAACAAGCTTTTATGATGAAGCATTTTCGACATTTCTTTTACAGGCGGTTCAATTTTTGGACCATTCGTCCGGAGGATGAGCGGAAGAGGGAAAGAGGATTATGGCGGCATTGCTCGGTGGTACAAAATGGGCCGGAACATTTCCACATTTCCAGTTTTATTTTTATATCCGTTCAAAAAATAAAAATTACTCGATATTTGTATATAGACCCCCGACCCGACAAGCCAGCAAAAATAACGGATTTGGCCTCAACATAGTACGGGTTGGACTCGAACTTTATAAATGATGGTATTATACTTTACCGCCAGGCTCGAGTTTTATGCTGTGCCCGCAGGCAAAAAGAGAATTATATCACACATTTTTATTTAAATAAATATCCTTCGTACTTCGTAGTAACAATATCAAACAAAATACATTTTATATATTAGTCGTTATTTGATACTTCATTCGTCCCGAAATAGATTACAATATTCCCTCACATTTTTGTCCCAAAAAAGATTACAAAGTCAATAACTTTATAGTGATTTGACTCTTTTACCATTCCTTTTCTTTTCTCTCAGCCACTATTCACACTATTTGGGGGGATTTTGGGGGTAATTTGGAGAAAAAAAATTTGATTTGACTCTTCCTTAATTTCAACTAAAAGGGAATATTGTAATCTAAAGTGGGACGGAGGGAGTATACTTCTTATAGTTATTATATCAAACATCTAAAATATTAATGCATTACTTTATTTTAAAAATAATAATTATTTATAAGTTGTTGCCATGATGATCGGGTCATCTCAAAGTCTGCAAAAACTCATGTGCGCCGAGCTCGAGCTTAAAATGTTAGGTCCCATATAAGGGTCAGGTTGGGCTCGAGCATAGAAAATTCTCATAACGTAACGTCTCGACTCGGCTTGAAATCCGGTTAGGCTCGTACTTTGATCATGTCTATTTCTATACAAACTATATATAATCCTTACTCCTATGTTATTTCTCTTTTCAATTTGCATTAGTCTTTATTACTCAATTTTTAAAATATGGAATATTTTTAGGTCAAAAACTCAAGAATGATTAATAAAAGCTAAAACAAAGTCTAGAGGGACAAAGTCTCACTACATCGCATAAGCTTGAGCGTAAGCATTCATAGCTAACAAAACACCAAGAGTGTTTGAAGACCGCAAAACAAAACAAACAGAGCAAGAAACAAAAGAACAAAATAACTTCTTGCACTCATTATTAATGATGCAAACATAAGACTGAGGATTAGCATAAGGCAACAGGTTATGACAAAGGATTGAGCAATCTGAGAAAAGTCGCACTGAAGTCACGCCCCGAGTCTTCAACCAGTCCAAAGCCTCTTTGCAAACAGTTGTTTCAGCCATCAACGCGGACAAGATATTATTCCAAAGAGGACCATTCACCGCAACGGCAAATTTGCCAACAGAAGAGAGAAGAATAACTCCGAATACTACCTTTCGTGACATCTCATCATAACCAACATCGAGAAAAACAATTGAGAGTCGGGCCAAAGCTATCTGAAAAGAGAGTATGTTGTCTCGGAGCTGAACGAGTGCTTGGAAAATATAACTAAGCAGAATGACGCCAAACCTCCATTTGTGGGGAGGGGTGGACAATTAGGGCTCTCATGCGACTGAGTTTCTAGCTTGTCATATACCATAAAAAATAAGAGTAGCCACCTTCAAGGCTCCACCTGAGTCCCATCTAGCTCTGACCACACTTGTTGAAGCCAATTAAGAAGAAAAATCATGGGTGGTGTTCGAGAACAAAAGAAGCATACTCAATTATTCATGATTTTGCTCAGTGGTACAAAATGGAACAAATAGACTATTTATACACTTACCTTAATTATTCTTCATTCATTTAAAAATAAATTCAGTCAAATATCAAAATTTGAAATAAAAAATTAAATAAGAGTGAAGAAGGTATTTAACTTACTCTATTCCCAAATTATTGTTTTTTATTGTTTGAGGCTTCCGATAACTTTTGTTTGTGTATGCATTTTCTTTGATCATCATTTGATAAAATAAAACAAGCATATCATCATATGCTTTTGATACGAATATCGTATCGGATAGGGAAGAACTTCGAGCGTCTTCGGGCTCCAAGAAAGGAGAGGCAAAGAGAGAAGGAAAACTTCGAGCGTTTCCGAGCTCCAAGAAAAGAGAGACGAGAGAATAAGAGAATTTTTTATTATTCTTTATTGATTAATAATAACGAAAGATTACAATATATAAAGACGCAGAAAAACCCTAATTGACCTAATGGGCTCAGGCCCATACTAAAACCCTAAATCATCAATAAATAATAATAATAAATACTCCACTACTAAATAATAATATAACTAATTAAAATATTATAATTAACTATCCGTATCATTCTCACCCCCTTAAAAACCACCTTGTCCTCAAGGTGGAGGCTCCCACTTGTGCTTCTGGACTGGAGAGATAATGCTAAACCAAAGGAGCAGTCCACTCTTTGAATCTTCAACCATCTTGGATCTTAGAGCAAACTGAGGAACATGTGAGATAGAGCCAATACTCAGTGTAGGTTCTCTCGGTGAAACTAGGTGCTTTGTCTTGACCACATCAACATTGTCAAATTAAACAACTTAATGGTGTCAAATGAAAAGGGGTTGTCCGCATGCTTATTATCTGCATCTGCCACCTTGTTGGCACCTTCTAGAAGGGCAAGCTTTGCAACGACTACATAAGTTGAGGCATTGACCGGATCATAACATTCACGTGATGGAAAATCTACGGTGCCCACATTAACAATATCTTTTGAAATATCACCTTCATTATTTTCAACGGCGTTGGACCTTTCGTCATCTTCATGCATGAGTTTAGGCCTACTGTCCATAACATCCCCAACATGTGATTCGACGCTTGAGTCATCCTTTAATTCCTCTTCATGAGACTCAATGTTTTGTACGGTGACCACAAGAGCCAAATTTAGTGGAGAAAGTGGGGCACTAGTGAGATTCTCGATGACCTTCATCATGTTTGTTTTGAAATTTTGTAACTCCAACGAAATCAAACTCGACAAAATTGGGGGACCACGAACCAAATCCTGTACCGAGCGCATCATAATCAATTTGCCCTTTAAAATTATGGATCAATCTGAGCTTCATACTGATCTCATACACATGATCAAAAACTATACACACTCTTTCATCATGCTCAATTTCTCCATAAAGAACTTTTTCCAACAAATCAATGAGTTTGTCAAATGCGGAGTCCATTTTAAAAATAAACACTGCCATACAAAAATATCACCAAAAAAACTGTAGTCGCACAGCAAGGAATTTGAACCAGCTTTTTTTTGGAATGGTGCGTAGCAATTCTCCACTAAAAAAAGTGGGGTGACACCTACTTCTTTTGGATCTTGAATCAACACGGGATTGCACCGGAACAATAATCTGGCAAAGGGAATTGCTGGAATATGTGAGCGGCCAATCTGTCAGTGTGCTACAGAATCAATTAGAACGAAATTGCAACGGTTGTTGCAAATCTCGTGCGCCTACAAGGCAATAACGGCGATGGCACCTCTACAGCGCTGATGACAATTTTTTTTTTTGGTTTTTTTGCTGAGTCTCTCAATGAAAGCACCAATTGATACGAATATCGTATTGGATAGGGAAGAACTTCGAGCGTCTTCGGGCTCCAAGAAAGGGGAGGCAAAGATAGAAGGAAAACTTCAATCGTTTCCGAGCTCCAAGAAAAGAGAGACGAGAGAATAAGAGAATTCTTGAATATTCTTTAGTTTAGCTTGTTTGACCGACTGGATGAGTTGGCATATCACTAAAAATGTTTGGTAAAATTAACTGTTTGAAAATAGTTGTTCACGCACACACACACACACATATATATATAGACACACACACGATATTCATTTTTCATTTTTACATGTAAAAATTAAATCTTTACTATATGGAGTATTAAATTTTATTTTCATTTATATCATAATAAATTATTAATATACAACTTTTTAATGATTTTTACTTTTTATTTTCTCATCTCATTTTCTTTTGAAAATTTTAATTTTTAATTTTTTTTATTTTAGTTTTGATTTTTTTAAATTTTATTTTTTATTTTTTACATATATTATAGAATAACTTCCAAGAAAAATGATTTTAAAAAAATAATTTTCCTAACAACCAAGTCGAAATGCTACTCCCTTTGTCTTTTCAGATTTTGGCTTTTCGGATCAAAATGCCAAGTGAAAAAGTCATTAGCCAATCAATGATTTTGGCTGTTCACTTAGTCAAAAAAGCCAAAGTCAGTCAAAGATGCCAAAAGGTATCCGAAAAGCTATTTTCTAAACACAGCCAAAATTTTATTAAGTTTTAATTTCAAGTATAAATTCCTCAACTTGCCAAACAAATGAATTGGACAAATCTGAGATTTTCAATTGATGAAATGTCCATATCAAAACAATAAAATCATTTAGATTTGATTGAGATTATGTTTTGCCCATTCTATTACGAAGTATGGAGTAGTTTGTTTCTCTTTTGAAGATTGTATTAGTATCGAGCTTCGGAATTTATTTTAGATAGTTTTTGAAAGTGTAAATTACCTTTGAAAACAAAGATTCTAAATGATGTCGTTAGATATTTTTTTACAAAACTTTAGAGCTAAACGCTGAAGTTATTATCAAATGGCACTTCGTCGATTGTTGAGATATTAAGAAAATTATTGTCGTGATGGAAACCACTAATGGATTTTAATGCTAAATATGGAATAAACATACCATAGACCGATTTTGAGCCCATTTGGCAACAAATTCAAGCTTTTAAAAAAACTATCTGACGTCAGTGTTTACTCTAGTGTCTTTAAAGATAATTTATGCTATTAAATAAAAATTATTTAAAATGCTAACACGATTTAAATTAAGTTTCTATAATATTGTCTTGATCTTAGAGTATTTGACTTTTTATTTTGGGAGATTTCTACCGCATCAGAAAAGAAACAAAAAGAAATCTAACATATAAGTCCAATTGATTTTAAGATGGAACCCTACCTATGGATTTGTATGTTGGGCCTATCGCACAAAAATGCACAAAACATGTGTCCCCAACGCTATGATTGGCCCACCAAACTTTATCAAGTCAAACATTACACACTTTGATTATTAATTAAATAAAAATTATATTGTACGGAGTAAATCACTACAAGATTAATTTTATTAAATTTATCTTACAAGTTTATTTTAGAAATATATTTCATTGTACTATT